CCCCAAAACCCCAAAACCCCAAAACCCCAAAACCCCAACTCACACCTCCTGTATTGAAATTCAAGTTATCCCTCAACCTCTTCTCTCCATATAACCTAAAATGCCTGAAAACCGGTCCCATTGCGATAGACTCCAGTACATCTCTAAACTAGTGACCCCAGCAAGCCTGGGTGACAAGCATCTGACAAAGGTCCCTCTATATGCCAAGAGAGTTCCCCATATGTGTAGAAGGATAACCTACTAGAAAGTTTGGCATGAGTCATATTTGAGGCAATTTTAGGACGACCACAGGAATAGGAGTAAGTTTGAAGAATAGTGAGAGCCAAATAAGTAGCATGGGCTACAACTAGCAGTGTACATTCCTAATCTCATTGAATTATTGACATAAAATTTTGATATTTTAGTCCTTCCAGAACATACAAAATTAAGAAAGAGGAATTTTATTAATGATTATTTAGAACAAGCTAAGCCTGTTGCACTCTGGTTAGCATCTTGTGCCTCTTGTTCTCACACAGGTTATTACATGCCCTCTCTAGGCCCTCAAGTGTCTTCCCTGAGAAATGTGCCAGTAATTTTTGGTAAGGAATTCACGTGTAGTTGTATTGTTTAACTAACTTCTTTAGAATCTTGGTCTCTCTTACCGAGAAAGTATCATTCATCTTCATTTTGATCCTATTTGCCAAAAATTTAGGAGACTGCCTACATCCAAGAGTTTGCTTAATCATCTGCATGCCTGCGTGGGCTTGGATTTCAGAGGAATTTTGAAAGTTTCTGATCTCGTTGAGGGTTATAAGACCTTGCTCTTCACACATTCTGAATGCTTTAAATAGTTCAATATCATCTTGCTTTCTCCATCTTGTGCATTTACCAGTAAGTTCAGCCTGAGATACATTTGTGGTTACGCTGTCTGGTTTATGAGTTATTTCTTCAAAGACTTTGTCGAAACTCAGCATATCAGTTTTAACTTGTGAGTCATTATCTCCCAGATAGATGCCTACTTCCATACCTTCTTTATAGATTTTGTGCTTATTAGTACATTTGTGATTCCCTTCGAGTAATTCCTCTTTAGGTAAAGTGAAGAAGCTTGTATCATTGATTTCATTAAGAGATAGACCTTCGCTTCTAAGACATTGCGAATATAGTCATGTAGCTTCATGGGGTCAGTCTTGTCTTGCTTGTTTGGCCTCATCCAAGGTCAGGCTAGGTTTTTTAGCTAGCACCTCACCATTAAGATATGCATTCTCCTCAAATTGGAAGTCTGGGTTATAGGTATTTCCAATAAAGTAGACTCTCTCATCAGAGTTCTTCCAAAATAGTTCAGGAGTCTGGCTGAACTCGTTTGTAAAATCTAGGTCAGATTTGAATATGTCTTGAAACATTTAATTAATTATTAATTTTCTTAAAATTTCTTAAGTACTTTCTGGCATGGATTCTTCCAAAATTGGGCAACTTCTCAGAACAAGCCCAGAGCTGACACAAAGCTGTGAATTAGTTTAGACATACTGAACTTGTGTTATTGAGGCTATTTCTTACGGTGATATTAGCATAGATTAATGATCAAGTTATGCCAGAATCATGTTAATTCAGAATGATGTCAATACCCGAATTCTTTACTTTCTTGCAGTTTGCATACCACAATGTATGCTCCATGTATTTGTTATCTGCATTACAAGACTAGATGGTTAATTCCTAGTTGTAAGAATCTCTGGTGTCTTATAAGCCAATAATGAGAAAACACTTTTTGAAGAGTTTGTCCTAAAAATTTATTTCAAGGCCAAATTGTAAAACCATACCTCATCAAGGCTTTAAGTAGTAGGCCTGAATAGCCTCAGACAGGCTTGACAAGTTTTAATCAAGTATGAGCTTTTGGATGTTTAGCATATTTTTGGGATAAATAGAATGCTTAGTTGCTAATTGAGCTGACTCATATTTTCTGACAAGATTCTGAGAGAACCAGAAATTCACCCTAGAAAGAGGGAAGTGGTGCCTAAAGTGAGGTATGAAGGAGATTAGAGTGACAACCTCCTGTTTTAGGAGTTTTTAGGGTTCGAAGGGCTTACTGAGTTTTTAGGAGTTGAATGCACAAAAAAGCAAAATTGTGCATGAAATCCTTGATTTATGATATTTAGCTTAATAGTTCAATATTATGCGCAACGTTGGGGTTTTGGGGTTTTGGGGTTTTGGGGG